TAGACTGGGTAAAGCCCTTCTACAATCCCTCCCATTCAGTTTGTTTTACAGGTTTTTAATAGGTCTGATTTAATTATTGGGATGCCATAAACCATGACCAATCATTCTGGTTATATTTTATTAGCAGAGAAATAAGGTAAATCTTAAATCTTTTGTGTCATTTTGAATTCAAAATGGAAGGCAAGTGTAATATAAGAAAGGCCTGAGGAAGAAAAAATAGGACCAGTGATAAAAATAAATGGGGAATACCTAAAGAAAACTGGCCTAGAAAATAATTAAAGAGAATTAAAACAAAAAAGAAAGGCTAAGAGAAATTAGGTAGAGGAAGACCAGGTATAAGGGAACGCAGGGAAAGTGAAGGAGACAGTCAACTGGCATTTGCCTAGCAGCTCAACAGTACATAGCAAAGTGGACATGTCAGAAGACCCTAAGAGATGAGGAGGTGAGGGGCAATGAAGACAAGACAAGACTCTGGGGATCACAGGAACACAGCTCTTTATGGTGCTGCATTGAAACAAATGACAAATAAAAACAATGCAGAGACGACATTAGTGATAGAGAACAGTGAATGCGATGAAAGAAATCTCAGGAATATTTTTAAGCATAAATACATAATGGGTAAGGAGACAATGTTATAGTCACTTCTCATTACTTAACCCTTTCAGGGTTTTCGACGTACTAGTATGGCTTACGCGCCAGGGTTATTGACATACTAGTATGCATAAATTCTAGCGTATTCAAATTAAGCGGGAAAAGGCTGGTAGGCCTAGATGTGAGAGAATGGGCCTGCGTGATCAGTGTGCACAGCAGGAAAAAATTCGGGGAGCCAGTGGTGCATTGTGTGAATGCCATTTTAGTACACCTTGCTCACCATGCCTCGCGGTAAGAAACTCCCCACTCCTCGGCAAACTGGGACACTTTTGTTCCCCAGTGACAGTTCTAATACAGATGGAAGTGTCAGTGAAGATGAGTTTCAAGGTTTTGATGAGGTTGTGACTGAAACTAATGACCATAATACCGGTAATAGTGAGGAAAATCCAGATGACCTTCAACCTTCCACCTCTGGTGCTGGGCCATCTTGTTCACGTTCAGATGTACCAGAACGAAAGAAGAAACTCGCATTTTCCCATATCCAGGACTCAGATGTGAGCAATGGTGATGATAGTGATAGCGAATATGAACTACAAGCTCTTGAAAACAGTTCCAGTAGCGATAGTGAAGTAATATTCTCCAGTGAAGCCTAAGTATATACAACGGTATATGCGCTCTGGTAGTGCATATGCTATTCCAAGGGGAATGAGTACATCTCAGAGTACATCCCGTGGCTGTACAACAGGAACAGATAGTAAAAATGAAGATGATAGTGTTGTAATGGGAATGGAAAATGTGTATGCAACTGGTGGTGGAAGTGGTGATGCCAGCCGTGAGGCACCAGCAGTGGGCCATGCTGCCACCCAAGCTGCTGGCTGCCTCAGCTGAACTACAACAAAGGCCACCATCCCCCACCCACCCACCACACCAGCCTCCACAACCACAACCAGAACCTAAACAACCACAACCTCCACAACCACAACCACCTGTCAATATCCAGTACCCACCAGCAGACCGCAGCTGGGATTGGCAGGAAGCTGACAATTTTGTTCCCAATCCCCATCACTCTGATGAAAGTCAAAGTGGAATACGGCCATTTGGAAACTTGGGAACAATGCCACTGAACTAGAATGTTTCGAGTTATTCTCTGACGAACTCCTGATGGAAATTATTGTAAGGGAAAGCAACAGATACTTCGATTACACCATGGCAAGCACAATACTTTCACCAAAATTATGCCTACACCAGTGGAAGGAGACAACTGTGGCCTGAGATGTATCTTTTCTTTGCCACAATAATGCTTATGCCACATGTGTATAAGCACAGTGTCAAATCATTCTGGTCAACAGGCGCCTGATTGCAACCCCAGGTTTCAGTGATATAATGCGAGTGAATCGATTTGTGCTAATGTTACGTATGCTTCACTTCTCAGACAAAACCAGGCCTGACAAAAACGACAGGTTATATAAGATTAGGAATGTGTTTGTGTATCTGAAACAGAAATTCAATATGTATTTTTATCCCTTCAGGAAGCTTGTTATTGATGAGTCTTTGATTCTGTTCAAAGGAAGATTCTCATTCAAGCAGTACATACCAAGCAAGAGGAAATGCTTTGGTATAAAGTTGTTTGTGCTTTGTGACTGCTACAGTGGTCTTGTATTGGATATTTTTGTGTACACTGGAAGTAATACATTGCAAAATACCAGGAAGTTGGGCATCTCTGGTGATGTGGTTAGAACAATTATGGAACCATATCTTGGTAAGGGGCATATATTATATACTGATAACTGGTGCACAAGCCCCTCACTCAATGATTTTTTGCAAGTGAACATGACAGATGTGTGTGGCACAGTGCATGGAAATCGTAAGCATATGCCCAGGTTTGACGCTGGCACTCGTAGAGGTGAGGTGCAGGTGTTTGCTGCCAATGACATCATGGCGTTTTGGTGGCATGACAAACAAGATGTCACACTGTAGTCATCAGTTCACCCTAATGAAATGACAAACACTGGAAGGCAGAATAGAGAGATCAATGAACCCATTCTGCAGCTGTGATGGACTACACCCTCAATATGTATTCAGCAGACAAATGTGACATGCAGATTGGGTTTGCTGATTGTGTTTGCAAGAGTTATAAGTGGTACATAAAACTCTTTTTCCATATTCAATGCTCATAATATGTATAAGATGAGGACCAGAAACAAACCACCATATGGCAAATTTTGTTTGTCTGTCATCAGACAAATAGTATTCAAGTACCAAGGAACAACACCTGCATTAGAATACCGCCCACTAAATTATCAACAACTACCTTCTCGTCTGAGGCATGGTGATCACTTCCTAATGAAACTGCCTGCTACTGCTTTCAAAAAAAATGCACACAACAATGCAGAGACACTCGTTTTATGTGTGAGGGGTGTAAAACACCACTGTGCATGACACCATGTTTCAAAAGCTTCCACAGGCTGCAGAACTTCTAGAAACATGTCCCTGTAACTGTATACATGTATGTGTATATAAAATATAGAAAAATAGTAATAAACAATATTTTATATTGTTCATTTGTGTAACCAATTTTGTAAACATTACAATGACAACAGTGTTTGTGTAGTTATTGTGTAGTATAGGAAGAGTAAAAATTTACAAAACAGTGCTCATATTGGTCTTGCAGGCCATAACAGTTACTTGAAAAGAAAAAATATTAAAAAATAATAGAAAAAAGTAGAAAAAACAAAATAAACAATTACCGGGTGACCGGCAGTCGGCGATGTTGCCGTATGTGGTTCACTTTCTGTCAACATCACACCTCCATATCTCGGTAAGTATGGATGGCCAAAAAATTTTTTTAGCCTATAAAGTTTAGAAAAAAAAAAACTATCTTTTCATAAGAAAAAATAATTTTTTTTTTCGAATATTTTTTGATTCTGAGAGCAAGTCTGGGAGAGGGCCCGTCGACCATGAAAGAGTTAAAAAAAGGAAAGGAATTTGGTTGATGACTAAGACAAAAGTGTAACACCTGTGTCTTTACTGAGAGATCTTGCACCTGCACAGCATACTCTATCACCCTAATAAAACTACAATAAATGTGATTCTTGGTACGATTTCCTGAAGAAAAAACTTATGGCAATATTTTATATTATAATGAAAAAGATAGTACAGTGGTACCTTGACTTATGAGTTTAATTCTTTCCGTGACCCAGCTTTTAACTCAATTTGCTTGTACGTATATCAAATCAATTTTCCTCATTGAAATTAATTGAAGTGCCATTAATCAAATCCAGCCCCAAACAAAACCATCCCAATTTTTTTGTTACGAGTTTTTAAATAAGAAAAATGTATTCATAAATAAGAAATGATTTTTGCCTTTTTTTTTTTTGCCAAGTCCCAGCAATGTTTTAGAAATGCTGAGCTATATATGAAACTCCTTGAAGCACAGTGTAAGAGGAGTGTCACTCCACTGCTGACAGTGCAGCAGTGGTGACATTTGATGAGCGTGCACTGCCTTGGCTTTATTTTTCACTGTTACACATAAACAGTCTGTCTATCTGTCTGTCTGTTTCTATTTATTGTCTATCTGTCTGTCTAGCTCTATGTCTATCTCTGTCTCTGCTTATCTGTCTTTCTGCCTGCCTGTGTTTCAGTCTTCCTGTCACTCTACTTGTCTCTCTGTCTCAGAGAGAGAGCCGCTCATGAACCAACAGGTATTACACATGATGCAGAATCTTCACCTCTGATTCCTGAACAAGTGAAAATGTGTATTACTTATCAGTCATGCTTATTATGCCTTACTATATCTACAAGCATAGTATAGCACTTTGTCTGGATTTTTTGCTTTATCCTAGGTAATTTACCCTATGTATAACTGTATTTATGTGTACCTGTGAGACAGAAACAGATAGACAGACAGAGAAAGAGATAGATGGAGACAGAGATAGTCAGAGACAGAGATAGTGATAGATACAGACAGACAGACAGGAGACAGAGACAGCCAAAGCAAATCAGCCAGCCAGTCGGGCACCCAACCAGCCGGCCTGCCGAGCATGTACGTATTACGCAGGTTCCAGAATTGTTTCTCTTTACTTAGGGTATACGTTATAGAACATTCTGACAGGATGACACTACCAGTGGTATGAAAATTGAAAGGATGTTACATGTTAGTTATTATCGAGGTTTTTTATATTTCCTCGGTATCTCCTGCGAGTGGCAGCACATCTGAAGCTCACTCATAACTCGGACTCTGACTTGCAACTCAAAGCAAAAAATCGACCGAGCAACAGCTCATAACTCAGAAAACATGTAAATTGGGGCACTTGTAAGTGAAGGTACCACTGTATTGCATATGATATTCCATTGACTTTACTTCACAAGAGTTTACAGTTACCATTAAAACAAGAATAAAAAGACCATACCTTCTGGAGAAGAGCTCCACCACTGCCAAAGATAACATTAGCAGCAGACCAGCCATGTACTTTTAGGTTCTCCAAAACAGTTCCTGCAACAAAGTACAAAAGAACATTTGATGTTTACCTCTTGTTTAGGGTTTGCAGAATTACTGGGCATAACAGCTTACATTTAGTGTTTCCATTATCACCAGTTTAGGACTTCCCTACCACTACTGACCAATTTCTATGTTGTCCTTTCGGTCTCACTCCATGACAGTCAATCACAACAACCAAAGATGCAACAGCTGACCTGGGCAAATAGTTCAACAAAAACTATACAAAGATTTTTATTCTTCAAAATCCATTCTATGAATGGGTTCTGATTTGGTCAAGGGTACCCCGTGATGTTAAATAAGAACATAAGAACTTAAGAAAGGAGGAACACTGCAACAGGCCTGGTGGCCCATACTAGGGAGGTCCTTCACAAATCCAAAAACCTAACAAAACAATGCTACCCAAGCAATAAGCTCAGGTGCAAGTCCGACTCAAATCCAACTCCTCTCACTCATGTATTTATCCAAGCTAAATTTGAAACTACCCAAGTCACAGCTTTTAGAACATAAGAAAGGAGGAACACTGCAATAGGCATTTTGGCCCATACTAGGTCCTTCACAAATCCAACCCACTAACACAATGCATAACATATAAAAATGATAAATACACCCCACAGTAGAATCAATAAACATAAATATGAGATGTGGTAGCCAGACGACTTGTCACAAATGATGCATATTAGAATATAGAAAAATAATAAAAATAATAAATAATAATAATAATCAATGAGTCTCATTAAATGTCATATATTACATAAATATACACATTTTCATTAATTCATCCATGACATTTGTTTTCAAAATCATAGAATAAAGATGATACATAACATATAAAGATGATAAATACACCCCACAATAGAATAAATAAACTATGTTTTGTGCCAAAACAAAAGCATTCACATTGCTAAACTCACAAACATATTTAGTCATTCCAAATACCAATTTCCCCCTAATTTGTAATATTTAAAGTTAAAATTTAATCTAATCGCCCAAAAGCCTAGCCATTAGGGTCTAGTGGCCCTGTAATTATATTTTTCACGTGTAAACCCACACAATAACCAAAATTCTGTAAACCAGCATTGTAATCCTTATAGAGAAAAAATTTAATTGATTTGAAAAAATAAATTTGGTAGCCAGACTTTTATAGGGAGGGCAAGAATAACATTTTTCTTACTCCAACATCAAGAAAATGTGTTACGGGGGAGCTGTGAAAATTTTCCTTTGAAATGAAATTTATTCTGTATACACAAAACAGTTAAATAATTATCATACATACATAACAAAACGTTAGAGAACCTACGAAAACCCCAAAAAAAAGTCAGACAAGTGATTTATTTCCAAAACCCTCCGCCCAGAGCTCACCTTAAAAAATGGGTTTTACTGAAAAAGGGGAGTGTCCTCATTTATTCTACCGTATAAAGAGAGACAATTGTACACAATGTAACTTGTACACAAACCAACGGTACACTTTCTTGGTTACAAAACTTGCTTTCGCCGGTTTGTTTACATAACTCTGCACCTGTCCTCCCTCATGTTCATTCTCTCCTCCCCCATTTATTTTTTTATCTCTTTTACTCACCCCGACCCCATTAAACAAAAATTTTTTAAAGGGTAATAAGAGTGAACGTAAAAAAGCATTTTATTGCTCGGGATCTTAAATGTAATAGAAAAAATTTAGGTGGGGGGGCCTGGTATGGAAAGCCCGGCTGACACCATACATACCACACTTGATTTCTTACAATAAATACACTTGTCTCACCCAAATTAAGATACAAATTTTAATAATGATGCACTATGTGTACTTTATTGTATGTTTTATTGTTTTTTTGATGCCTAGTTCTATTGCAAATTTAAATATATTTTAGGTAAACTTGTTACTATACACCTACCATCATTTACGACCTGCTTGACATATGCCCTTTTCGCTTAAAACCGTCTCTGGCGCTGGGCTGGCTGACAAACCGCCGACAAAATTTGACAATACTCGGGTGGCAAATGCTCTGCAGGCAGCACAGTTTGAGTAACCCTGCCCTATCACAGTATATACTGATTACTGTACTAACTGACAGTAAATTTCACCATGGCCCCTAAGATAACTAAAATTTTGCACTGAGATGTGGCAAGAAAGGCTCTTACTCTCCAACTCTCTATTGTTTTTTCACTGTTGCCATAAACCTGCGGGCTGCTGCTGCATATCTGTGTCTGTCTTATCTCTGATCTGTTTGCTACCTTGTGTCTGTCTTTGTTTTGTTTTTTCACCTGTGTGTCTGTTTTTTCTACCTGTGTGTGTCCTACCTGTGTTCGTCCTTTTTCTCCCCTGTGTTTTTTTCTACCGTGTCTGTCTACCTGTGTTTTGTCTTCTGTCTACTTGTGTGTCTGTCTTTTTGCCTACCTGTTGTGTCTTTTGTCTACCGTGTGGTCGTCTGCTTGTCCCCCAGAGCCACCATTAAGATAATGGTCTTAAAAGATCCAATTAATAATGAAAATAACACAAAATCACTAGGGCACTAAATGTGTAAAAAACGTTAAATAACATTTGGGTTAATCCACTATTTTTTTTTCAAAATTATATAATAAACTGCTACATAACAACAAACATATAAATTAACAAATGAATGTTTTTCTGGGGCTTGACAAAAAACAAAAACTACGTGTCCAGGGGGGCAACAACAATGACGTTTGTTACTAACTCCCGAACCTTCTACCTCTCATTCCTCTCTTTAATCTTTTTTACTACCCTCTCACTCTACATTAAAACTCAGATATTTTTTAAGGGAAATAATGAGGGACACGGTTGTTATATTATAGGGTTAATAATATTTTTATACATATGTATTATTTTAATAATAATAATAATTTATTATTATTTTTAAATTTTTTGGGGACTGGAGCACAGATCCACTGTAAAGCACTTTGTCTGGATTTTTTGGGTTTCCTAGGGGAATTTTTAAATAGTAGATAACTTTTCTTACTGTACCTTGAAAAGAGAGAGAGAGATACAAAAGAGAGCAAGAGAACGAGAGAGAGCAAAGATACAGAGAACAGAGAGAAGAGAAGAGAAGCCACATTCTTTAACCATCAGCCAAACCCCCAAACCACCAACCCCCTCCACCCACCGCCAGCCCGCGGGTACGTATTAAAACATGTTCCGAGTTTTTTCTTTACTTAGGGATAGGTTTTTACTACATTCTTGGGAGATGACACTACCATGGATTCCCCATTTCCCCGTGTGGCAATACATAAAGATAACAAAACTATACTGTATGCGTGTAAAACCCCAAAAAGTTCACTACCATGTAAATTATATACAGACTAAATAATTAAAATATAACAATAGAAGTAAATTATGGTAAAAAGAATAAATAACATTGTAATTTCATTTTCAGTACTATGTAGGGATTTAATAAGAAAGGTTTTTACATTTTGGCCCCACCCATATTCGGGAATTTTTAAAGGTTCGACTTACGTCCATTTTTACTTACGACTGGGGTCGGAACCAAGCTTGGTTTTAAGTCGGATTGTAGGTGAAATTTTTAGTTTTTTTTTATTTTTTATTTTTTATAATTTAAGCATACAAACAGAGGTACAAAAAAAAAGGGTAAAGCGCTGCCAAGCCACTTATATGTAGCATTAGGGTGGTTTAAAAATTTAACTTAAGATTAAAAAGCAATGATGAAATCATAAAAAACATTATTGTAAACAGATAACAAAAAAGCACAAGTGATATTACAAAAGAGGTCATAGGGTTGCTTGCATTGCGACATTCGTCGAATGGAATTCTTTATAGTGTTTTAAAAAAAAATAAAAAAGTTATAGGGGGTCCTATTTTTAACATTTGTGTGATAAAATTGTGAGTAACATATGGGAATAAAATTTTTATAAGGTTCTTTATTCAGTATTTTTTTGGGTTTTTGATGAGAAAGTGATTTTGGAGAGATTTGAATTTTATAAAAGTAGGGGTTTTTTTTTTATTTACAGTAATGAATTCCAGTTTTTTGGGGCCTTTTTATGTGCTTTGATTTTTTGCATACGTGAAGGACCGAGGACATCAAAAAGTGACTGTGTTTTTTTATGGCATGTGTTCTGTTGATTTTGCAAGGGTGTTTGAGGGGAGTTAATTCGGGTTAAGTGTTCTATTATGAAAATAGGGAAATAAAAAAGTATGGATTTTTTTGTATGGTGAGTGGTTATGTTTTGAATATGGGGATTGTTCCCTGTTGAATTTGTTATTTTCTAACTGCAGCCTTTTTTGGGTAATTAGGGGTCTGAGATGGTTTAATTTTTGTTGAGCCCCCAAAAATTCCCTGGGGTAGGGGTAAATAAGAGAGGAAAAAAGGGGCCAGGGGGGCTGACTGGGAAACATAGTACCGTATTTCCTAGGAATTTTCCCTCTTTTAGCTTTTTGGTGATAGTATTCTTTTGTTTTTTTAAAGAGTACACTGTAGCCCGTTACCCAAAATGAAGAAGTAGGTTTTGTCAAAGTTTAGGGAATTTGTTAGTCCCATCCAGGTAGATATTTTTTGTAATTCGGGGTTTTCGATTGGCTAGCGGACTGGGGGCGGGGGAGAAGACGTATGTAGTGTCATCTGCAAAAAGTGTGGGTTTTATAATTTCGAAGCATTTGGGAGGTCATTTATTATAGGAAAGAGAAGAGGGGCCCAAGGGCACTTTTCCCGTGGGACACCAAATGTAATTGGTGTGCGAAGGCTTGCCCCCTTGGTACACATAATTTGGGTTTCTGTTGCGAGGAAAAAACTTTAGGTATTGAGGGGGGTGCCCCTAATACCTTGGGGGGACAATTTTTCTGGAGAAGTCATGGTCAACTGTACAAAAGCTTTACGTAAGTCCAATGAAATCCCCCAGGGGACTTCTTTTTTTCTATTTCAGTGTATATATGTTCTAGCATGTGTTTTAAAAGACTTTGTATTTTTTTTAGGCCCGAACCAAAATGGCAGGGTTTAATGTTTTGGAGAGAGGGAGGGGTAGATTCGCTTTTG